AGGGAGGGGAAGGATGGGGGTATAGTGTGAAAGAGTAACAGATCTTACTGTTAAGCCTATGCAGATACGCTACTGATATTAATGCTTATAATAAAAACGGGAATAAGAGCTCCACTGAGAACTTAAACATCACCTTTCAGCCCCTAAATTACATGCATCAACAAGGTCGAAGCACTGACCTCAAGCTACACATACAAAATACGGATGCACCAGCCATACTTAACATATGAGCACTTATTTGAATACCCCATTGGAACCTTTATGTCTCCATTTCACTTTTTTTAAAGCAGCTGCTAAACTAGCTGCTTGTTCAGAGTACTGACACCAATTTTCTGATGTAATAATGATTTTCTTGATCTAGTGAGGATCAATTTCCTAGAACAGTGTCAGATCTTTTTTACACTTGATTTTCTCTTTTTTTAGCCCTTATACAGCTGTATCGTAAATTCAAACCTATTTTACTTACCACAGTTGTTTTTATTCATTGCCTCTGACTGATGAATCTTTGCTTCCTTTTTGGAAGTGGAATTAGTTTTTATCCTAGGAGATTCTTCATTTATCACATTGCAACTGAAGGTGTCTTGCAATGTTTGTAAAGGGTCTAATAAAACAATCAGGAAAAACAATTAAAGCAGTATCACCACCTGCAGTGCAGGGCAATTTTTGGCCAATGTCTGACTGCAAAAAGTAAAGCCACAGCAGCCAGCTGATGACAGTACTTACACTGGAGGATTTTCTTTCTTTGTGGGGGCTTATGGTCAGGCGCAGCATCCAGGGTTAAAGAGCGAATTACAGTTTCACAGACAAACTGAGTCCCACTCATATCTTCTTCTCCTTCCTCCTGGTTCAATGGGGGTTCAGCTTTCGCCTTCACTATGCAAGTATCTGCAGGAAAGCAGGCTTCCATCATCCCTTTGAACGGGAAACATAAAAAATTATTTCAATGCCATCACAAGGAAAAGTAAGCATAAGAAAAATTTTTTAGGCTAGCCAAGGCTAGTATTGACTCGATGTATTAATTCTTTTTAAAAACTGGAAGAATTTAGAATTCTTTCAAGTCGAATGTGAAAGTGATTGAGAAGCATGGGGGCCACACCTTGAGTGTTTAGGTATAATCTCGTCTATAATGGGCAAACTTAATTCTCCCAATGATTCTAGCAGTTGCACAAATCAAGAAAAGCATTCGTATTTCTGAGTTCTACACATATTACACTCCAACCCCTACAAGCAGAGTAGCATCGGACTACAGGTTTATGAGCCAAACAACTGTGTGTTTTTCCACAGAAGGGAAAGACAGGAGTTAGAATTCTTTTAAAACATCAAGACTGCTAACAGCACAGAAGTGACAATATCTTCCTCCCCTCACCCCCAAGCTCCCCACCACTACTGCTTACCAGGCACTGGTTTAAATCCACTCCCCTCATTCTCCTCCTCTATCTGACCCAAACCAGGTTTCTCCAGCAAGGGGCTATCATGTGGCAAAGGGGACATGCATGGAGTCATGTCTGAAAAACAAAGGTAGTAAAGATAATTAGCATTAAAGGAGTAGGAACCTTCCTTCCTGCAGAAGGCAACCTTTTAAGAAGTTCTCTTTTTTTAAGGGATATTCTTCCAAGACTGAAGAAACTCAGTTATCTTACAAGATAATTTGGTGAAATAAACAACTAGCTTTGCATTACACTGGCACTGGCTGACCAAAGAAAATGGCTGCCTTCTTCAATGTCTGAAATCTTACAGTTTTGGGGACGTGAAGCTGAAAAGAAGCCAAGACTGAAAAATATAAAGGATACAAAGCACTATCAAATATCTCATCTAAGACTGCAGCAAGAATCAAAATGAAGAGACAGGAAAGCTGGAAAGACACTCTAGCCTGAAGAACAAATAAGCCTTTTGCACAAATAAGTTCAGTTTCTCACTGAGTAAACAGTTAACTCTGAATGCTACAGACAGCACACAATATGAGAAGAACCTTACCAACAGGAGTATTGTGTGGCACTCGCTCCAATTCCTGCACAATATTAATGTCCAATAGCTCAAAGGACAGCAAATCCTACAGAAAGAAACACCAGAGTTTTCATCAAATTCTGAAATGGAATCTCATGCTGTACTTCCCAGCATCAGATCCCCTTAACTTACAAATAAGTCTACTCCACTTTGTTCATTAGTCAGCATGAGAGAGGTCAGTTTTCCCATAAGGTATATACACATCATAGAATATGGTACACAAATTAGGGCAACAAGAGGCAAAGCTAACTACTTCCTCGTTAGGGGCCAGAAAAAGACTCGACTCGGTGAGTCTTTATTGAGAATCTTAGTCTGTCCTGCGTGTACCTTCCATATAGTCACAGTCCCCCATACTAATTCAAGAAAACAGTTCTGCTATATAAAATGCAATATATTCTTCCTGAAAATACAGTGGCTATTTTGGAGCTTTTTATGCTTATGGATGCCTATATACTAGATATCAAACCTAAGGGGATTTGTTTTATCTCTACCTGAACTTTAGCACTTTACCTGTGCAGTGAGGAGATCAACAGATGGGATATAAAATTCTCTCTCACTTGGCAGATTTTTGATCTTTAAAGGAATAGTTGGCAGAGGTATTTCAGCCTGCTCCACAATTTCACCCATCAGTTGAGCACCTGCTTCTGCCTTTAAGGAAGCATCCTGCAAAACCCAAAAAAATAAAGTCCCAGAATCCCCTTAGGCCGGCAGCAAATAAAACAATTACAAGAAATGTAAAGCCTGAATATTGTGTATAAGAACACAAGTAACTTGAAAAGAGATTTAATTCAACTCGTTTTAGAGCCAAAAGGACAAGATCTAACAAAGAGATCTTGCAATGTTTCAGTTCAATCAAAGAACTAGACAAATAGCTGCAATAGACTGATACCTAATCCCACACCTGTCAAAAAGAATGACCATTTTAGAACTTACAAATGCAGTAAAAGTTGTCTTTCTTTTCTATTAAAAATAAAATTCAGAAGCAAACAACTAAAAGAATCCCCTGGAAATCAACATAGTTAGGGATACTATGCCATTGCACCGAACAATATTCATTATTCCATCTACTAGGCAATTCAGAACTGCCCCAAATACTGTATGAGTTACTTGCCTGTTTCATGCTGGAAGTGTTATCCTTCTGACAGGAGTCCGAATCCTTCCAATTGCTTTCTAGAGAGTCAGTAGCTGGGGAGGGATCCACAACAATACTGCACCAGATCCTGGGCCCAAACTGTTCCCCTCTGTGGGACAGTCTCCAGTGAGAGGTGTAAGTTCCTTCTATATTAGGAGCTACAAACTCAACTGAAACAGTTCCTACTTGTCCCGATGGAAGGGATGGCACTAACACATCTTTTTTTTCTGAAGATGCCAAGGTCAGATTTCCCCACATAAGTTTCAGCTGAAATATACAACAGAAAAAGAAAAGGTTTAACTTCACAAGCTTCTCTGAACTGTGGGCAGCAAGGAACACTTAAAAGTTCCTCTACTGAAAGGCCTAATGGATACTAGGCATGGAGAAGAGAGGCTGCTAGTAAACACTCTCACATTAGTCACTATCACCAAAGCAAGAAAATAACTCCATCTTTCAACATGAACTCAGTCACTCACAGAAAAAAAGGCTTTTTGAAGTCAGAAAAGCAATACAACACCTGTTGTAAACAAAGTTGAACTGTAACATAACAGGACTGGAAGACATGTTCAGTGATGTTAATCTTGACTGCTTTCCTCCTATAGTTTGCAGTTGTAAAGTGTACCCGGACAGCTTATTGCCCCAGAATTCCCAGCTTGTGAATTAACAGGGCAAATGAAATCCTAAATGGGTTCTGATAGAGAATTCAGATTCCTAATGCATACAAGTATTACTTACAGAACTATTTTAGCGTGTAAAAGTAATAGCAAAGGAAAGATACCTTTGTGTCTGAGCTCCATTCCACATTGCCAGTATTTTTCATTCGCCAGTGTTTGATAAATTTTGTTCCTGGTTGCAAGTGAGTCCCATCTGGCAAATTCTCATCCACAAATACTGCACTTAGTGTTGGGACAACCGCTTGGAAGGGTTCGCTAGGACTCCTGGGAGTGTGGGGAGCAAACAAACAAATACACCAAAACTGAGGAAGTCATTCAGCTGCTATTTCACTGGCTAAAAATACAGGAGGCCATTTCACTTGTTTTCTTCTTTTATCTCCAGAAGTGTTTCAAGATTCTAACATTTTAGCTCCTGTTTTCATCTTAAGTCTAAACACCAGATAGCAGTTTGCTTTCCTTTACTTAAGGAAAAAAAGAAATAGAAAAACATCAAACCAAGATTGGCTTATTTGGAAGAATATTATTATAATTACAGAACTCAGGTTTAACAGAGAAAAACTCACTGTTCTTCACAACTATGCTATTCTGTTAGAGAATGAAGTTATTACCTTTATGATGTTGAATCAGAAAAATCATGCTATAGTCTAAGCACTAGTGTCTTTTTATTTGGCTTTACAAGCAATATTTTTCAGCAAGATAGCATAGTTTTTTCCTGAAAGGGGCTCAAAAATAGATTTAATCCAAATCTTTACTGTTAAGTTTGGACACATTGAGAGGGGACTGATGAAGCAGCTCATATGCATGCCAACTTTAACAGATATAAAAAAAAAAATTCGGATCTAAATTAGCATTGGTTTTGTTCCTGTAATGTGCGTGTTCAGCAAAAAGGAAGCAAAGATAGCTATTTTAAGCTCCCCACTGTAACTGATTAATGCTAATTTGACTTTTAAATACCCTAAATGGAAGAGATGAATAAAAGAAACTAGTACATTAGTTTACACTACATGTGCTTTGCACCTGTACATTCACAAAACCAAAGGGAACAGAAAATGCAAAGTAGTTGCCTGCAAAGACTGCTGTCCAGTGAGCCTCAGCCTAAGATCACATAAAAGAGGAAAAAAGAAAAAAGAACACTGACTATAAGCACATAGAATGTACTTGACTTTATGCAGCGACACTTAATATAGCAGGAAGATACAGACTTTTTTTAAAAGTGGCAGTAACATTGATTTATGCTGTATGCGCATGCATGCACATGTATGTAATCCTAGGCATTCTCCTTCCTCCTAAATCTATCTTAAGTCTGTACGTTTCTGGTAATAACCATTAGTTGCTTTTCTTCTCTTACTCTCCTCCCAAGTAAAAACAATAAACACAATCCACCTTAAAAATTCCATTTAAACAAAATTCTCACAGGGTCCAATGACCAATAATACTTGAAATGAGCGATTTCATAACCTTCTTCCTGTTACTTTAACTCGGTCTCATCGCAAGAGGACAGACAGCACAACTAAGAAAGAGTCAGCTAACAACATCTCTTACAGGACAGTATTAGGTTGGAGACTCTCAGATTTCAGAGTAGGTGAGCCGCTAGTTTCCAATATGTGGACGGAGTTCCACAGATGAATTTTCCTGTGCAATTTTAGCTGCTTTTTGAGCTCTCTGACCTCTGCCTTTCGCTGTTTCTTCTCTGCTCGTAATCTTTGCTTTTCTGCCTTCAGAAATCTTTTGTCCATTTGTTTCTGGAGCCTGCGGAGAGAATAAGCCACCTTGTTACAATACATTAAACTGATTAGAATTTACCTTTAGCCAACAGAGTCTTAGTCTCAAAGGGAAACTTCAGGAAATGTCTCATGCTTCTAGACTGGGTACCAGATGATTTTAAAAGAGCATCTTCATAGTTGCTTGTGAAGATATTTGGAATGGACTCAGTGAAAGAGCAAACTTAAAGGCAGAAAAAGCAAGCTCTCAGTTGGCTATCCACCTATGACACAACATTCTGTCTCTTCTACTTTCTTATTAAAAACGCTGTAAGATTCATGACTTAGGCCATTTATAAGTATATAGCTATTTTTAGTGACTCACAATAAAGCTTGAGTACCATTTCCATTTCTTGTTACCTCTAAATCTAAAATAAAAGCTGAACGTCAACCCCAATACAGGTGTTTCCATTTTGCTATCAGGATAATCTTGTCAGGTACTGACACCATTTACCTAACTTGCTCCAGAGTAGCAGGCAGGCGAGATGAAAACTCTGCAAGGCTGTAATTCTCAGCAGTACATAGTACAGGTCTTCGCAGCTTTAACAAGACGTGATTAGGATCATGTGCATATATTCCTGCTTCACACTGTTCACAGATATTGTAGGCTGGACAAACGCTGCAAAGAAAAGGCAGACTGTTACCAAGAGGCAGACAAAGAATTAATACACTAGAAAGACACTGAAGGATAATTAATCCTTACATTTCTGCAGAGAAACAACTCTATCATACTACCATTGTAAGCAGTGCTTGAGTGAGGCAGAGCTGGTTCTCTCACTTACACATCAATATTTGCAGCCATCTGGAATACCTAGATCAGTATCTCTCTTCCTGGCAAAGCTGCAACACAGTTCACACTTCCTGAATACACACTGAAAAAGCCCGATGCTTCCTTTAGCACAGGTCATTAACAATTGTTGCTATAAAGGATAAAACATTATACTGAAATACAATGCCAGAAACAGCATCATACTTTGCATCATAGAATGGTTTGGAAGAGACCTTAAAGATCGCTCCAGGGCTTCAGGGATCTGCTTGGATCCCTGAAGAAGACAAAGTTCGCTCTCCTGAAGTCCGGGGCAGTGAGCTTGTTGTGCACCCTCCTCCCTGCCCTAAGGATCTTGAACTCCACCACTTCATGGTCACTGCAGCCAAGGCTGCCCTTGAGCTTCACATTCCCCATGAGCCCCTCTTTGTTGGCGAGAACAAGGTCCAGCATGGCACCTCTCATTGCTGGCTCCTCTACCACCTGGAGAAGGACATTATCATCAACACATTCCAAGAACCACCTGGATTGCTTACACCCTGCTGTGTTGTCCCTCCAACAGATATCAGGGTGGTTGAGGTCCCCCATGAGGGCCAGGGCTTGTGAACCTGAGGCTGCTCCTATCTATTTACAGAGGGCCTCATCTGCTCAGTCCCCCTGGTCAGGTGGCCTGCAGCAGATCCCACTATAATGTCCCCTGCCCTCCCTTTAATCCCGACCCATAAGCTCTCTCAGTCAGCTCCTCATCCATCCCCAGGTGCACTCCATACACTCCTTATGAAAATATAGAGGATTACTTAGGAAAATACAGAGGATAAGTCAACTAAAGCATTCAGGGATGCAAAGGAGGAATAGGACTGGTAAAAACAACTCCTGCCAGCAAGAAAAAATAAACATCCAAAGAAAAACCCCTGTTGGCATTCCATTCACTGCTGCTGCCTAATCCTGAAATATTTACTTTTACAGCAATTGCCTCATTCAAATAAAAACAACCACTTTTGACACCTCACTTAAGATACTCATCAAAACCTATTTCATATTATTAAACTGACAACAGTAAAATCATTTAAAAAAAAGCATGATCTGCTTTAGTCTCATTTACTTTCAGAACTAAATAAAGGACTATTACAGACTGGTGGTTATTAAGTTTTGGGGTTTTTGTTACCTAAACTAAATGAAACATTTTCCTTTACAAATACTGCACGTTATATGCAAAAAAGGTAAAGAGTTTTTTGAGAATATAGCAAGTCTTAGAAAGTTCTCTCTCTTTGTTTTAACAATCATGTTCTCAAAATAGTATTAATCTTGCTCTTATGCAGATAAGGACTAGTCACCACAGCAGAGAACATAAGCTGTTTGCAAGACACATACCAGAGGTTCTGAAATGTACAGCATGCTGCAGATTAGATATCTGGACGTCTACAACACCGAGATGGTTTCTCAGACTCATCCACATGCCCTGCATGTTAGGTTTCCCACACTCTCATCATATTCTACCTACCTGCACTGGTAGCGAACTCCAACAATTCGGACCTGGCAGTTGCAGCAGGAGATCAGCCAGTCACACTGGTTGCTGTTCCCTGATCGGCTCTCTGAAGTTGGAGGTGCTGCTGTAATAGAGCTCTCAGAAAAATCTGGAGGCTGATTGTGATGAACAAGCTTCTCATATAGCTTCTGTTCCAGTTTCTCAACAGTTTCCTTAACTACTTGTTCCCTGAACTGGAAAAAAATTAGTCATGCATGAGACCCACCTATGCAGCTTCAAAAGTTGGATTATAGTGTCCCAATTCTCCCAATCCCTAAGTCCTAAAGCAGCTCAGAATCCACTTCCCATCCCCTCGGCACATTCCAGATGAAATTAAACAAGTATCACATTCCTCAAAGAGGATTTGTAGTTCAGAAAACACGAGCCCACGTGTCTTAACATGGCAAATTTAAAATCATATATTCATGTTTACAATATTGAGATTTTTCCATAACCTTGCACAAAGGGAAGGAAACTAATCTCTGAGACAATTAACACAACTTCCAACAAACCCCTCTGGAGTCTCTATCATCAACTACTGATTTTGTCCACCGGGGATGTTGTAAATACAACCATTAAGTTCCTCTATCTTTAATTTGTATAAAGAGGTGGAAAAGGAAGGGAGATGCTTAAAGAAAAACAAGCTCAAAGATAAACACATATACTATTGTACCACTGGACCTTTTAGTTTCAAGAACTCACTAGCTAATTGATTCTTAGCATTTGTATCTAACTGCTTCTCAGTGACATTTATTAGCTGTTCAAAACAAGTTAACACCCACATCTTATTAATCTATAGGTTATACTCATCGGCCTCCTGAAAGTATTTACTTGAACTGAACAATCAAGAAAAGCAAGGTCATCAAATGCTATGCTTCAAATCTCAGGAAACCCTAACTATTACCCTACAGAAACTGGTCAAACAAGAGTCTCCAACAGCAGCACCGTATTTCCTGCTCTCTCTCATTATGAGTGCCCAAAGTCCCTATGACTATCTGGAGTGCAACAAGGATTCTAGCATGGGAGCTACTTAAAACTACACTCAAAACAATTGACTGCATAAAGCAAACAATCCACTTTTGACAAAAAGTGTCATGTATCAAACTTTTTTTTTTTTAAAGTAACACCTACATTGTACAGTCATAGTTAAACATCTTGTTTCCATTTATAACCACAAAAGCAAAATGATTAGATGCCTAAATGCCCTTTAAGATCCTGGTCACAAGTACTGAGAGCAAGTGTGATCAGACGTATAGAGTTAGGCATCACAGGTATCTTTTCCACCCACAACCTCTTATGTATTCCTAAGAATACTAAAATTCAGAAAGAAAAAAAAAAAACAACCCACACTTACTGTTTCCAAGTAGCTAGTAAACCATTCTGGAGGATTTTCATTTGTTCTTCCTGTTCTAGTGTGATTTAACTTTTGCTGGGGAAACAAACAAAACAAACACACCACAAAAATAAGTCACAAACCTTAAATATGCAAAGCTGCAAAAAATCCTCAATACAGCAAGTTCACCACTTTCCAATTGCTCTCCCCTCAAGTGTCTTTACAAAAAAAAAAAATATTTCAAGTTATTTGGAAAACAATGGAAAAACAATGCAAGGAAGCCACTGACATTTTCCTGAAAGATTTCTGCCTTATGAACATTTGAGTGTAATTACACATCAAAGCCAAAGAAATCAAGTCACCCAGAAGTTACTAGATGGCAATCAGGGCTTCGTGAGACCAATTGCTTTATCAAAATACTTAAGAATAGTCAACACAAAAGAATCTGTATTTCTAAATGCAGCAGCAAAATATCCTCTTGAAGACATTCTAACATTTTTGGGAGCTTCAACGGGTGGAGGTAGCTGAAAAGGAAGACCAACTTCTGAACTCAAGAGTTTTTATGTATGGGTAAAGATGACAATAAAGTAAATTACACTTATGAATATATAATCCAGCTCTGCATCCTACCTGAATTGTCAGCTCCTTTTCATTTTCTAAGTCTTCCTCTAACCCCTGAGCTAGCATGGAGTAGTGTGAAAGAGGTTTCTTTTCATCTTTAAGAAGTGCCAACTTTTCTGTCATGTTTTTTTCATGTAGTTGCAAAGAAGAGGAACATGAAGTTTCTTTTGGAGAAGAGTTTTCTTCATACACATTCATCTGAAGCTGATTTCCTTGTTTAACTGCAATCTAAATAAACAAGACATACATACACCATATTTACTCCACCAAAATACAAAATCCTGTAAAAATACAGCACTACACTGGAGAGGTTGGGGAAAGACTAACACAAAAAAATTGAAACTGAGTGAAATGACAGTCTATTCTGCCTTTCTTAAAGGTTACCAATACGCTTATTAAAGAGTTTATTATAAGCAAAAGGTTAATTATGCAGACATTCTGCAGGATTTTTTCAATCTACAATAAAGCTGTTCATGTGAGCCAGTAAACAATAGAGATTCTGTGCAGTAACTTACAGTAAATTTTAATTTATGATTATTTTCACATTATTATCTGATTTGAAGTTCAGACCATAAGCAAAAAGTTCTGAAAGCATTAGTACTAGTATATATCAGTACAACTGAAATTTAAAGGAATGCAATTCTCATTTTGTCTAAGTAAAATTAACTGCCTATAAAGTAACAAAGCACTAATACCAATTAAAGTTTTATTGCCAGAGAATACAACATTAGAGTCTACGTGGCAAGATCTTTAAAAGGATCCCATTAAAGCCTGGTATTTCCAAACATGGGATTACTGTTTAAGTGTTAGAGAAAGCCAGTCATTTAACCAATGAATTGGCTGCTCAAGGCCCTGAACCACAACTGCTTATTCAACTGATTTACATGAATCAAGATTAGCCTGGACAAAAAAAAAAAACAAAAAAAAAAATAGTAGTAAAACATTCAAGCTAGTGTCCAAAGCTAGAAAACTGATTTATTCTGATTTCCATGGGCCAGATAATGCTGTTTTTTTCCTCAGCTACACCAATTTTAATTGGAAAAGGATGAATATATTGAAAAAACTCAAAGAGAGGGTTTACCTTCAGAGCTTCTTCATATTCCTCTAAAGAAAAAGGGAAAGAAATGTGAATTTTCCCCATCTCAAACAATATATGTAAGTTTAACACACAGTACTTAGGGACCCTTACATGAAGGAGTGTCTCCCATACCTTCTGTACATTCTTTTAAAATAGTGCTACTGAAGGAGGAAGTTGTATATACAGCAGCAAGCAAACATGTTCTCACAGCCTAGAGACTTAACATTCCATTAATTTAGTTATTTCCAATTTGTTCCTATGGATCGAAAACTCTTTCCTTTTGGAAAAATTTGATGCCCAACCATACATAAAATCAAAAAATCAAAAAGCAAGCATTCTCAACTGCTTCTCCAAAAACATGAAGTTGGGGTCTCTTTACTGATTTCACGTCAGTAAAGTAGCAGCTCACCTTTGCTATTCACAGAGACCTGCAAAGAGAAATAATAGTGAGTAATAGCCACTGATATATTTTTTGTGATTCTCTTAAAACTAACACGCTTTCAGAATAAACATACTTTTAGTCAGAGTTTCTAAAATACCACTCCTTCAGCTATTTGTTATTGCTGTCATGTTTAATCATTAATCAATGTTGTGGTGTTCTGGAGTAGACCTTTATTAGATTTGCACAATAAACAAGGTCTCTGGCACCTACTAGCATCCAGAACAAGTGTGGTCTCATCTACTGGAAGTGATACCAGTGCAAGCTGGGTTCGCTATACAAGTACACAGAGGTTGGACCTGGTTGCTTTTAATGCCCAACATGAAAGAACTGTTCTTTTGATTTAGATACAAGCCAAGCCCATCTTCTACAGGTGCTTATTTATCACTTTTGCACATAGAAGTTACTAATACAAGAACATATTTAATAACTACAGCATTGCATGATTCTGAACAATGTTTACTCATTAGTATTTGAAAAAAGATCTTTAACAGAGGCATCCATATATTTATATAGATATAGGTTGGAAAATAAGGGGAAAGTCCTTCCCCAAAATGTTGCTGGAAGCATCTTGACATTTCCCCTTAGGGAAAAAAAAAACAAAACCACAGATCCCCATCTCTGCAGTTTAGTAGAGCTACAAACCAAGTAGCGGAACGGAGTCTGCAAAAGTTATGTTCTCTTTGAGAGCTCATTCTACACTAAATCTCTGGATAAACAGAAAGAATATGAGTAGGTGACGTTATACCAAGCAGGAAGTTACTCAACAAGGACAACTAGAAGTAACCAATTTGTTTTTTGAGTCACTAATCTGCTTGGAGATTATAGCATTTGCATAAAACACGCAGAGGATTTGAGCACACCAGATCACTGAAGTAAACATATGCTAATGACAGGGGACCTACATTCTTCAGAGGAAGGAGTGTAGATTGAAGCGACAGGGCTTTACCATGACTACAAACACAAATAGCTACAACTACCTTAATCCTGATAAAATGAAAAATAAGAAAGTCCCTCAACAGAAGCATCCCTCCCTCAGAGCACGTAGAACCATGAACTCTTTCTATGAGGTAAGAAAGACAGTAGCTTCTAAAAAAAATTTTTAAAATAAGTGTGCTACATTAAGAGTGAAACCACAAGACTAATAGCTATTTTCTTATCAGAGGGGCAAAAACATCACCTCTGATCCACATAACAGACAGTCCTGAAGGACCCACTACAAATTATTAAGAGACAGAAAGGTTCACACCAGTTATATTTTGGTAGATCTGTTCAGGGGGTGGGGGGGTGTTTTACCTCATCATTATCCTCATCAATGTATTTGATCTGAATGTTGTCCAGGTCAAATGAAACTTTAACCTGTAAGGAGAAAGAATAGAAAACCACAATGAGAAAGGACTACAGATGTTTTCAGTTAAATCATGATTACTGATAGGGAAAAGTGTTTTAACCCTTCCACTCCTCCCTTCAGTTTTCTCAGGTGAAATAAAAATCCATTTACAAAATCCATTCTTCTGGAGTTGCACAACTCTCCCCAGTGCCTTGCCACCAACCTTTACTAACTCTCTGTAATGAAAAGAAAAAAACAATTTCTTTCATGTTTCATCTTCCCTAGTTAATGTTTACACCAAAATAAATAATAATAACCTTTTCATTATAACAGGACTAGTTCAGGGTTAATGAACTCCATCACGGTGAACACTGCAATATACAAAAGCTAAAGCCAACAAGCACCAAATGCTAACTTTTAAATTAAAAAGCACGAGGAAAACAGCTCATACAGGTGAGCAGTCTTTTTTCCACAAACATATTTGTGTTTTCGGAAACTAGGATTAATTCAAGTACTAAAGAGAGCAAAGTATTTCATTCTACTACTCACTGGCTGATGCACTGTATATCTGAACATATCAATCCAATATAGAGATCAGAATTAAGAAAATAAAGCTGAGCAGCTATTTTGTAATTTGCATTAATAGGGCAAAACAAACAGCATCAAACGAACCATCAATGAAGGCGGTTATTTCCCCCTGTTGAATAAGAGTCTTTGAGGCTCATGTGCATTTTTGTATCACCTGCCTACACAAGCTATATTTTTCTCGACAGAAACTCTCCCTGAAAAACTGCTATACTCGAGACATTCTGCTAGCCTGGACCTAACAGGACACCACCAGCAGCCTTAGAAGACAGCAGATGGCTGGGACTTACATAGCACCACAAGAACACAATGACAGAGCTACATACATTCTGCAACGAATATACTACAGACACGTCCTTCCAGTGATATAGAATTAATTTTGGGAGTGCAGTGAGAGAACCAGGCTTGTTAGGAACAAACTGTGGTCTGTATCTACATTGTCTAGTACCACAGACTGTTCCCCTACAACTCAAGCTAGAACCAGAGATCGGGTTATCCCTCCCAGACACCTTTAATAATACATTAAAACATAGGAAAGACACAGTTTAACTGATACTACCTTGAAACAGTAATTCACACATGGTGCAGAGACACCCAGTGGTACTACCTCAGTTAGAGAAACACTGTAATAGAACACCACACCCTCACTCTTGGACTACTTAAGATTAAGGGCAACACCATGCTTACACAGCAATCTGCTTCCAGCTTTGATGCAAGTAGGATTCTGACTAGCTCATCTAGGTCTATTTGCCACCAAGTATTTTAAGCCTGAACTAGTGCCTCTTCTAGAAGACTGAAGTACAATGAGTGAAGATGATGCAGTTCAAACTTTGAATTCCAGTAATTCACAATGCAAGAACCTCCAACAAGGTACACTGGAATATGTTGGTTAAAAAAAAAAAACCCTGAAAGAAAGAAAATAAAATACTGGCAAGATCTCTTTAAACTGAAGGAGGGTAGATATTAGGAAAAATTCTTCACTGTGAGGGTGGTGAGGCCCTGGAGCATGTCAGAGAAGCTGTGACTGCCCCATCCCTGGCAGTGTTCAAGGCCAGGTTGGATGGGGCTTTGGGCAACCTGGGCTAGTGGGGAGTGTCCCTGCTCATGGCAGAGGGTTGGAACTAGATCGGCTTTAAGGTCCCTTCCAACCCAAACCATTCCATGGTTTTATGATCTCTTAAGATGCAACTCTGAGTATGCTAAAAAAAACAAAACAGAACAGTTGCTACAGAATAAAATTGCTGCAACTTCATCATAACCAAGAGAATCCTTTCTACACAATTTCAACCTCAGTCAACGCAGGAATTTTCACTAAATAGCACTGGAAATAAAGATCCAAACAAAAACTCTTCAATATACCAAGAGCATGATATACAAACTGTCATAAGCAACTATCTATGCACGCACAACCTACTAACAAAACCAGTTATATCCAAACTAGCACACAAAAGGCACCAGGAAGAAACCAAAAATTTATGTCAGTGAGTCATTACCCCAGAGAGCAAAGATAAGTCTTCAGGAAAATGTTCTATAAGCAACTGAAGGGTGTTACTTCATCATATCTACGTGAATGAGTAAAAGGAGATAAGAGGAACAGACTGTACTTTACAGGGGTACAGTGCCAAAAGCAAGTATCCATAACTGTGGAAAAGAGCAAAGCACGTAGCTCTAAGGCCACCTGCTCACACAGTAAAACAAGCTTTGTCCAAAACAGGCTTTTCACGCCAGTCTAAAAATATAACAGGAGTAAAAGTTACTGTCAGCGCTACAAGAAAAGCTGAGGCCGCAGCAGAAGAAAACACCAGCTCTAACAGCCTGCGAAATGAGGGACACGGCTTATGAAGCTGAGGGAAACGATGCTGGGCCCTCGGAGAGGC